TTGCTATGGCTTTGGTGGCGTCTATGTCAACACCTGTTGCTATGGATTTCCTACATATCAGCAAAACTACTATCCATTGTTCCTATTTAACTCAACTTCGTATGGAAAAGATTAATAAAATTGAAGGTAAAAAAAACCCAAAATCTTAGGTAACTGAAAATAAAATCAAATAATTTGCTTTTAACTTTTTTTTGTAAGCTGAGTTTCAACTAATTTCTATATCTCTATTTTGATTATTCCGTTCAGCTGTTAAAATCTGTCATTATGATACAAAAACGGTGCTTTGATCTGACGACGTGACGCAGTTATCTCCCTTAAGTGAGGGCATCCCTATTTCCTGAATATGATTGAGTCTGTGCTTTGATCCTTTAATCTAAGATATCAGACTTACACACATATATCATTTCACTGCTTGGAATCTAGCGATATTTATCAGGGGAGGCGTTTATGTTTTTTTTTCTCTCCTGATATTGGGTATTGACTGATTTCCTCAAGTGGCTGCAAGTCTTTCTTTGAAAATCTCTTTCAAGCTGTACAAGTTCGTTTTAATTATTTTGTCAAATGTGAAAAAATCGAATGTTTATCTTCAAACTTTAAAGAAAGATATTCTGTCTAAGCCCTTTTTCTATACCTTCATGATAGTAACAAAAGACTTGATATTTCAATTCAAAGAAAGATATACATTACAGAACTCTCGTGTTATCTGGATTCATTGAATTATCAGGAGAGGGAATTTTAAAGAGGAATCTTACGTTTTATTTCAAGAAAAAAATTTTAACATAAGTTCCATAAATAAAGAATCCGGCACTTGTCGCTAGCCAACGGTATGTCATAAAGGCCTATTTGATCAGGAGATAGCGCTTGTAAATGACGGAGGCCGCGCGAGGACATAAATCACGTGCAAACACAGGCACCTGCTCATATCATAACAGTTTAATTGGTATCACTCTAGAGAGACACATACGCCGTATATCATGTGAGAGTAAAGGTTGGTTAGTTCTAGGATATATTTTCTGCAAGTTCCTCGATAGAAGAAAGCCGAAAGCCACCCATGGGAATGAATTTATAAGATAGTATCGAAGATCTGGTAATTTTCGCGAGTCAAATTTTCGCAGTTTTCTTAAAACGATCGAATATGTTTTCACGAATTTATTTTCGCGATCTGGATTTATGAGAATCTCTTATACAAACGTGTCTCATTACTTTACGGATTAGATTTTAATGTACCGCGAAATAGCGAAAATATCGTCCCGCGAAAATGACCTACTTTATTTTAGTTCTGTAGTTTTAAAAAATATGCTTGTGTGTCCACATATTCTCGCTGAAATCTACGAATTTTACGACACTAAATATCACTTGAATCAAATGCAAGAAAAATGTCAGTACATCCGGGGAACATAACAATTTTCGAGGGATTATTTCTTCCCTTTTAAATTTATTTTAAATCAGGTGACATTGCAATACATTAAATGTCACAAAGGAACTTCCAAGAAAGATTCAATTACCTGCCTTAGTTCCACTTTTCACCGATAAACTGCGTTCGTTGAACTTCGCAGCGAAGGTAAGCGGAAAGTTAAAAAAGCTATGATAGACAGTTGTAAACCATTTATACGATTCACAGTACTTTGTACTTACAAAGACACAAATATCACACTTACTATATATATATAAAATATAAATGTTTTGCTTTGTTTGATTTTGATTATTATCAAAAGCTAACCGTTAATAAGTTTTCACATATTAGTGTATTTTAAAAGCAACTTTGTGTTAGAAGTAATCATTTTTAAAATATCCTAATATTTGGCCAAGTGGTCGGGTAAAAAGTGTCACAGCTGAGCTTCGAACCCCCAAACCATTACCGAATCCTTCTTTAAAATAATACTATACCGTAAATTATTGACTGTTTGTTTCTGTGTACATAAAGCAACGAAGCTATAGATAGGCCTGTTTTAGCTTGTTACTTGAGGAAAAAGTAGCCGATAAATTTCTGGAATAACTTCCGAGTCATTTAGAAGCTTTGCAATACTGACTCTTTCAATCGCGCAAACGATCAAGTGCATGATGTAGCATTTTAAACAAAACGACGACGTTTACAGACAGAGGATATTGGAATCCAACAACAAATATTTCGGCAAGTAAACCTTGTACATTGTTCTCGTATGATCAGGACATCTAACTAAGTCAATATGTACCCAGATAAGTTGCTGTAATGACGCAATGGTCATTAACATAAAATAGTATTTAAAAGTTTTTTTTTCTCCCCCCCCCCCACCCCCACCTCCACACACACACATTTTTTAAATAGTTGGTCTTTATACCTCTTCTTGTACATTTTTCAACAAATATATGAAAATACAGATCGTGATAAAGGCGAAATATTAGTCATTCTATTTTAGTTTGTGTAAGTCGGTGGGTAATCTAACAATTTGTAAATGATATATTTATCGCTGTCTGCCATACTTTAACTGGCATTTTATCTACGTAGTGAAGTGCTTTTATCGTTAAATTCTCATTAACTCTCGACCTTTCACACTGGTTTGGCTACAGGAGTCCTACTCATCCGAAAAAAATCTAAATTTTCATGATATGCACACCGATATAAATTATTACATTTTCTGTAGCTATCTCTTCATAATAATCTTCCCTTTTCTGACGTATTGCAATTAAATATGGAACTGAAAACCTTTCTGTGAGAAAAAAGAATATCACAGAATACAAAATTATCGTGAAACGTTTTTTTTTTTTTTTTTTTGAAATATTGTGTTTCAGTTAATCACATTATACGTAAAAAAAAAAGCCCTACCGCACATTATGAATTCTGTGGTTCTGACGTCACAGTGACGGTTAATGGCAGTGTGTGTTACAAATCTTATATTTATTATTAATATAAGCGATGTTTACTTTTCTACAGATATTTCACATTTAATAAAAAGCTTTCTATTTTATAGAGCGTTTTCTGTAGCTACAGGACAAACAATGGAAAAACTCATTCTCGCCCTAATTAAAGCATGTACTTATTTTAAAAATAATTCCGATATGAAAGCCGTATTTAATTGGCAATTCCGCCCGAAGAGACTTTCTAATTTTCAGTCTTTTTGTATCGATGTTTCGTGTAACTAATTGAAGCATTGAGTATTTCAATCTACTGCTATCGCTGAAAGACGATGGGCCAATTATTCAACAGTCAACGTTAAGACTTTCAGCGAATTTCGCGTTGTAATTACATATTTGCAATTGTCAATTAAAACCATCGAATAAAACAGAAGAAAAAAAAAAGTACAAAAAACACATCTCTCATAACACAGAATTACGTACATGTCCTTCAGCGATATCATTAAGATAAATAGTGTTGTTGGATTTCTCGTCCGATCAATGATCTTTTGGTGAGTACGTCCTGAATACTGTCTGATCATTTCTATGGCAGAATCTGTTTGCCGGAAATCAGTTAAATTTCGGGGGGTATATTTAATTACGTCCCGGAATGTGTATCGGAAAAACATTCCATAGAAAACTCAACAAGGATTTCTCTAGTTATCGTTTTTACAGAATAGGCATTATTTGTAATTTTTTATTTTGTTTAATTTTTATGTAAATTCTTTTATATTTCTGTTCTGAACATAACGATATCAAAAAGTGTTTTTATAACGCATGAACAGAAATTGATAATGTTCTATAATATCTATAAATTACTATTTAAGGGCTCAGGGCTGCGATATTTCGCCTTTCGCAAGACCAGCTCATATCATAGCGGTTCATTTTGTATTAGGCCATCGTTAAACCTTACAATGCACTGTGTGAACCCAATTATAATTTTGCCGTGGTTGAGTGTGTTGTGTTGTGTTAAAAGACTCCGACACCAGCACTTTTACTAATATACATATATACTTGACGACAAAAATTGTAACGTGACTCTTTTACATATACAGTGTGTCTGTCTGGGCTAAAAGTACCCTGATCATGTCCCTCTGGGACGACCCTTCCCGTCTCGCCGCATTTATCTATGAAATATTGATTGTGTTTTTGCCCGATGCCACAAAACACAGGCTTTTGATGTTGGTCTAATATTTATTAAGTACTACACAATTTAACTACGATGTAAGCCTGTGTCTCAGCGAGGACATTTATCACACTGTGACCCATGGTCCCGAAAGTGGAATATTTCTTTCATCCTATTTATAATTGAATTTTTATTAACACAGGAAATCACTTTCTGTGACACAAGACATATTCCGCATTTTTTACGACTGAGTAGGAGAGTATTTGTCCACCCAAGAACTCCTGTGCTCCCGAGAAGCTTAGCCAAACAAGGACAATACCAGGCTTATTATCTATATAAACGTATACTAAAAGAAAATAAAAAAACGCAACACTACATTTTCGTGATATATAAGCTTAACAGTGTTTTCCCAGGATCACGAGACACGATAAGATATAAACTCCCATCAAATATTGATATCGACAGACAGACAGCCAACGGGATTCATTCTCAAGTTGATTGATAAGGGCATATCAGCAAAAAAGGGGAAAACCCATCCTCCCTCTTTTTATTAAAAAACAATTTTGAGAAGTAGACGACATCAGGAAAGTTCAAATAATACCATAAAACTCCGGCATCAACATCACGTGATATATCACCGTTCCCTGATGAAGTGGTCTGTTTTTTTACACTTCTAAAAAGCAGACCTATCTATTGTAAACTCAAATATATTCAAGTTCCCAAGTGAAAATTGTTTTTTAATCAAGCTCCACCTCAAATACGGGCAAACACTAATTTTCCCTACACAGTAAAATAGTTTTATTCCTTACATGTAAGTTTATATCTTGTTTTCTTCAACATCGATCTCGTAAAGTTCAATTGAGAAATTGTTATAGACAGAAAGAGAGAGTGGGGGATGGTGATGGGATGTGGGGGAGGGGACGATGGGAAGGGGCGTGGGAAAGGGGCGTGGGGAAGGGGTGTGGGGAGGGGGCGATAGGGGAAGGGGCGTGGGGAAGGGGGGTCAATAGAGGAAGGGCGTTGGGGGATGGTGATGGGATGAGGGGGAGGGGGACGATGGGAAAGAGCGTGGGGAAGGGGGCGATGGGGGAAGGAGCGTGGGGAAGGGGGCGATGGGGAAAGGGGCGTGGGGAAGTGGGCGATAGGGGAAGGGCGTTGGGGGATGGTGATGTGAGGTCGGGGAGGGGGACGATGGGAAAGAGCGTGGGGAAGGGGGCGATGGGGGAAGGGGCGTGGGAAGGGGGCGATGGGGGAAGGGGCGTGGGGAAGGGGGCGATATGGGAAGGGGCGTTGGGAAGGGGCGAAGGGAAGGGGTGGGCGATAGGGGAAGGGGCGTGGGGTGGGGGCGATGGGAAGGGCGTTGGGGGATTGTGATGGAATGTGGGGGAGGGGGGCGATGGGAAGGGGCGTGGGGAAGGTGGGGGGTCGATAGGGGAAGAGGAGTGGGAAAGGGGGCGATAGGGGAAGGTGCGTGGGGAAGGGGGTCGGTAGGGGAAGGGCGTTGGTTGATGGGGATTGGACGTGGATGAGGGGGGCGATGGGAAGGGTCGTGGGGAAGGTGGGGGTCGATAGGGGAAGGGGCGTGGGGAAGGGGCGATAGGGGAAGGGGCGTGGGGAAGGGGGCGACAGGGGAAGGGGCGTGGGGAAGGGGGCGATAAGGGAAGGGGCGTGGGGAAGTGAGGACGATAGGGGAAGGGGCGTGGGGAAGGGGGGCGATGGGAAGGGCGTTGGAGGATTGGGATGGAGAACACATTTCAAAACAATAATAACCAAAGTTATAAACATTATGAATTCTGTTTCTGTTTGTATTAAATTCTTCGAGATCTTGATTACAGCGCTTGCGTGATTAGCATAACATTAAATTAAAATTTTTAAAAATCCTTTTATCTTAATATAACACGATTCGTTTTGAATATCAACTGTAGTTTATTGCTTAAAAATCCTGAAAGAGGCAATTTATTGATAACATCGCGATAAGGTGCGTTTTAAGTAGTATCCACTGACCAAATCTAGTCTCGTTGTATAGTGTGGTGTGTTGATCTAATACCGTCTTATCAGGCTGAGTTCAGATTTTGTAAATCTGAGTATTTGGAAATCTCTCAATTAGAGGAAAAGTCGAGCATAGTGAACACAAAATTCCAGTGTTTGCTAAAAGATCAAAAGAACATACACATAAACAGCTGACTGTATCCGGACAGATCACAACAACGCCGGTAGGTCAAGTATTTGACGATTTTGTGAACTGACCACAACTTCATTTAGTCAAACAAGACAATGAAAGTCAAGCAATGGGTTGAGGCGGAAAGTACCAAAGATGTAGGTTGGTCCAGCATTAGGTTATAACAAGGGCTTGCGTTAAGGTCAAGGAAAACGATAAAACTGACCATGTATGTGTGTGTGTGTGTTTTGTGTGTGTGTGTGCGTGCGTGCGAGGGTGTGTTTGTGTGTGTGTGTGTGTGTGTGTGCGTGCGTGCGTGTGTTTGTGTGTGTGTGTGTGTGTGTGTGTGTGTGTGTATGAATGATGTATGTGTGTGTGTGTGTGGGGGGGGTGTGCTTGTGTGCGTGTGTGCGTTCGTGCGTGCATGTACGTATGTATGTATGCATGCATGTATTTATGTGTGTGTGTGTGTGTGTGTGTGTGTGTGTGTGTGTGTGTGTGTGTGTGTGTGTGTGTGTGTGTGTGTGTGTGTGTGTGTGTGTGTGTGTGTGTGTGTGTGTGTGTGAATTGTGTATCACTTATTATACTGTACGTACGTGCACATGTGTTTGCTTATTATGAAGAAAAAAAAATCTTGCAGAAATAAATAATTGGGTATATTTATCAGACAACCGACTGTCGGCGTATTTTCTAGCATTTCATTGCTTTTACGTGACCTTCATCACCTGATATGGTACTTTTACTGGTGAGATGCAGTAAGGTATATCATTCCAATATTTATTCCATACGGCCTTATATGTTCTGTACAGGAACGACAAAGAATACTCTCAAACAAACATACCAATTACGTCTTTTATCATGTTGTAGTAGGTAATTTCACAGATATGCTTCTTTAACTGAATGCCGGGAAATATTTTTAAAAAATTACGGCATAATTTTTTATAAAGAAAAATTCACCGTCTCGGTGAAAACTTCACATACGGCTCATCGGAGAACACGTTGTGTGTTTATTACAACAACGTGATGCGGTATGTCACACAGACTATTACAAAATTTATTGAATTACGGGGCTCGTGCAGTTCCGTATCTCTATTTGGACATTTGCTTTAACTGGTTTTATTTTCTGAAATCACCTGCTGCAATTTTAAATCGTATCCCTGACATCAATAACGAGACAGAGAAGTAGAAAACTACCGTATGATACAGTTCAATTCATTCAGCGATGCTGTTTTTTTATTCAATAGAGTTAGATAAAATAGTACATTTAGTTTGGAATATTAGCATTCAGTGTTGGTTGGTTAGTTATGGGACAGTTGGTTCGAACCCGTGTCACATTTTTATTGTATTTTGTAAAACCTAATTCGAAATTATAATTATAATATATTTAACGACCAGGATTATCTTTGGACGTGCCAGAGGGTGAAGAAACCCTGGAGAAAACGCATCCACATCCCCACGTAGACCTCGAACCCGCACCCAAAAGTGTGATAACAGTGTAAGCAAGGAAGGTATACATGCGCTATTTTCAGCACGAGAGCAGGAGATTAAAAAAAAAAAAAAAAAAAACACCGAGAAAATACCAACATGGCAACATAATCATAATTCAAATTCAAATTCCTTAAAACTAGGGCAAAACATGAACAAATTAAAAGATTTAAACTGGAACTCATGACAAAATACAAGGAGTATAAGATCAAGCGTTCCGGAAGAGTAAGAATCTTCTTCATTGACGACTCTCGCCATGTAAACCTTGGTCAATCCAAGTAAGTAATGTCATGTTCTCAAATGAGAGCAAGGTAAACAACAACGGAACCAACAGGCAATAGAACGAGTATCAAATACGCCCAGCGACACACAGTGAAACAAATTATTTTTCAATGGGATCACTATGTCGACCATAAAGCTTCCCCATAAATTTCATCAGCCTGCATCTTTTGAACCCTTGTATTACGAGTTTGTCAGTCAGTTGACGATTTCTTGCACGAAAATCGTGATAATGGGAACAGGCCCTTGGATATCGAATCAACTGTGACATGTAAATACCATAGGTTGGAGATGCAGGGATATTGCTATTCAGAAATGGAACATTCACAGTAGGGGAATTGAAATTGTCACGCGGGAATCTGTCCATGTTGGTTTCGTTGTAGGAAAAGATCGAGATAAGCAGCTAATGTAGAAGTGTCTGTTGTGTGTTTGATTTCCAGTTCCGGTGGATATATACGATGGACATAGTCAATACATTTCTTGCTATGTAAAGACAAGACGTCATCAATATATCTGAAGGTGAAATTAAACGACTTGGCAAGGTCTTTGTGACTTGTTTTTATAAGCTCTTCAATAAAATCAGCCTCGCAAGGAAACAAAACCAAGTCAGCCAACAGAGGGGAACAGTTGGTTCCCATAGGTATGTCTATGGTCTGTTGGGAGATCTTACCACCAAACTCGATGAAGATGTTGTCAGCCAAAAACGCGATCAATTTTTTTGATTTTGTCCTCCCTCCGTATATTTCTTTGGACGTAATTTTCACAAAATTCGTTTCAGTATAGCTCAAAACCATATATTTATACAGCCGTTCACCTTTCTTGGAGAAGAAATTTATCCTAACAATAGGACGAAGGCGTTCCTTCGGTTTAGAACGGAGTATGGAACCTTTATTATAAACCCAGACAAGTTCTACGTGATTAAAACTACCACCAAAGTTTCCTTTAATATCATCTCGAGATTTGTCCTATGATATTTTAATTTCCGTATACTTGTTCATTGTTACTTTACTATTCTGGGACTTTTCCAGAGGGAAATATTGTCACGATGAATTGGTTGCTAGGATACAGGTGTACGTGACTATTTCTGTCACAATGCGTCGTCTCACCGACTTACATCAGTAGTACCTTACGATAAGGTTACACACCACGCTTAAAACAGGTTAGACATGTACACTGCGTGTCAATGGAGAGATAATTGATCCCTCATTGTACCCCTCCTCCGCAATTCACATCCCACTCTCTTCCCTTCCCTCCCTATACTTGAAGAATCGACGAAAAAAAATACTCGCGCATGCGTATCATATCATTATTAAATTGTTTAAGGTATTTGGGATGTAATTGGAAATAATTCAAACATTTATACAACATGAATATTTAAGATTTTTTATCATTGAGACATCTTTTCACAAAGTTTTATGAGCTTCTGTTCGCAGGATTAAAAACTATATTAGGTATATGGATTGCTATACCTTCATATCCTTGTAGACTACATTCACTGGACTAAAATAAATAAGAAGCTTTAAGGGTGGGTGTTCGATCAGCAATGAAAATCATTTGACATAATCTACATTGTAACTGGACATGTACTACTCAAGGTTATGAAATAAATAAATAAATAAATAAATAAAATAGATAGATAAATAAATAAACAATAAAATAAATGAAACACAAATGCGTTACTTCAGTAATTATAGGTAAGGTATTGTATGCCTTTCGGGTTAAAAGAAACCACTTCAAAATATCACAAACTCTATCAGTAGATGATTCAAGACAAAACAACGATCAATTAACAGGAGTAAGGCAATGATGCCTTATTTCTCGGTTTTTAAGAAAAATTGTCCCCATCTTTCTCTGTTCTGAGTTACTGCGACACGAACTACAACCAGAGATAAATCAGGACATCCTAATGTGGCTGGTACTCAATCAGATAGATATACCGCAGTAACGCCATACAAAAGGTTCTAATCCGTCATTGTTCTCGACGGAAACGGATTAAAATTAAGACTAACAGAAGTCAGTTGTCATGGAAACCTTATAAAAGGTAATTAATAATCTGCTGGTGGTTGAGGGAACTTTCCCCGAAGCGTTCTGATGACTTGTAACTATAGAAAGCCCTTGAGTTAGGTTTTGGTACACGAATGTTTTATCAAAAACTGGTAAATGTCACCGGTTAAGAAATCGTGTTCAAGGGGCAAGACTAAAGAATAGATGTACTTCCGGCTCTGACGAACAAAACCAGATAAAACTACAAACCCCGGTTCATCGTGTAAACAGTGCCAATACATTGCCTAGAGAAGTACAGAGGCTGCTGCAGCCCGCACTGTACGTTCGAAAAATGTGTTCCTAGCAGATTCCTTATCTACACACTTGTGTACTTAAACATACATTTCATCCACATTCTCTGGTAATTGAACATTTTATGTGTCTTAGGATTAAGATTCAATTAAATTTCCTCATAAAAGAGAAAAAAATGCAATAAAGAAATGTGTGTGAGTGTTTTATCACTTTGTTTAAGCTGTACTACCTTGCCAATAACAAGAAACGTTACAATGACGCGCGGTCAATAAAAAACAACCTTTGTTTTTCCTGCAACAACAACGAACGTGTACAATACAACCATTCGGAATGTTTGTTTCACGACACATTAACTTAGCAGTTTATTTGAAGCGATTTTGTCTGTAATAATGTGAAGAAGCAGTTTTGAACTCCACGCGGATGACGTCACTTCCTGTGCCAGGATTGTCGTTATTGGCCAATAACTTCGAAATGGATCCAACCACATCAATTCAAAAAGTACATGGTTTAGTTTATTACGTTACGTACTATTAACA